TGGGGGTGGCCGAAGATCTAGGTTTCCGGCCACCTTTGGTAGCAACCAAGTTCAAACCACCACTGGTGTCAAAGTCCTTCTAGATTTTTGGAACCATTTGGAGGGTGTACGAGGCTCTGATCGTGCTCATTGCAACCGGACTGGCGGTGGTTGTTCCAGGCACATTTGGGTAACTGGTGATATTGGCGTTTAATGCCACAGATGATGCATGTTTAGCGCGCTGCCCAGCCTACTTCCTCGGTTTTAATGTCGTGTTGAATTGGAAAGACCGAAATTTACGCTCTGTCAAGCTGTCTACAATGGAATTGCTTTTGGTGCTCCTCATTTGTTCAAACAATGTCACTAGTCTTTCGTACTTCTGCGATAGTTCATGTACAATCTTTACCAATGGGATGACTATAAATATTGAGCAGGACCAGAGTGAATCTGGTTTATTATTCTGCAGCTTCGACTGGTTCACTGTGAGCTTGGAACATTTGCGATGAAATTTGTCTTGGTAACTGCCACATTGAATACCGATCCGTACATTTTTATGGCATGAAGAAAGGCCACAAACTACTGTCGCTCTGGATGCGGTAACATGGGATTTTGATTGGTCGACATGCTCCATTGCGTCGACCGATGGTAATCCCAGAGAGGCCCGAGCGCTTATGGTTTCCTGCCGGTCGCGTGTGTGCTGAATTGTCTGCATATTCAAGGTCGTCCATCTCTGTGCGACTGGCCTTCGCGGGGGCAGGTTTAAGCTGCTAAATCGTTCACGCGGCAACCAGAGCAACTGAGCGATAAGGACACGAGGTGTACGATAGCTACTTTGATGAACGGTCCACAGCTGGAGTTGCTGATTCGGATGAAAAGTGCAGTTGGCTTTGGTTCGAGACCACAAATATTTCTGTGTGGTTTATGATTCGGAAAATTCCTCAGTTTTACTTTTGCAGGAATGGTGCAAAAATTTCAATGTGGAGATAAAAGACGATCCACATAAGTTAGATCCGAAAGATGAAGTGCACTAGATAGCACAGCTGAATCTGGGTCGAATGAGGACCAACACAGTTTTGCATGACAGAATGCAAATTAGAACGGCGGCACAACAACGTGTTCACAGATAAGCGGTTGGAACGCAGGTTCGTTCAAGGTCCTGGCCAGACATTTGACCCGTAATACAGGTCGACTGAGAGTGTTGACAAATTGATTCTCCTTCCCGTGTAGATATCTTAATCGACAGTGACAGCCAGCGAATAGTAGGGCCCAGCGAAGCATACGGGGCAAGGCCATTTGGAGTATCGCTTCTGGTTCACCCATAATTTGCAACACTGTCTTATGGTCTGTGTACGTTTCAAGTCTCTTGCCGTAAAGGTATTAATGAGAAGGAACAGTCCTAAATACGACCGCTAAAACCTTGTCAATTTGGAAGTAATTTCCCTTGGCTTGCGATAGGGTCCGACAGGTAAGTTCAACTGGTTTGCTTACTCCTCTCGCGTCAGGTTGTAACGAAGCAGCTTAGACCTTACGTAGTAATGCATCACATGTCAACCTCACGTATATTTCGGGGTCAAAGTGCATCAAAATCGGTGGACGGGCCAAGGCACTCTTAACTTGACAAAAGTTAATTGTAGAAAGTAGAAGTCACGATTAAAATTCACGCACAACAATGTGCCTCGACTGGGAATCGAACCCCGGTCCACGAATTTCCGGTCCGCTGCTCTACCACTGAGCTACCGAGGGCTGACGATTGGGTGTGCAAATTTTAACACATGACTTCTGCTTGGTGCGCGACGTATTGCCAATGGGCTCACAGTGCCTGCCCTGGTATTGCAGACTGGCTCACTCACCCGTCACTTCCCAATGGGCTGAAGTATTTTGTTCGTCGAAATCAGCCGACAATTCAGACATGTCGACCAGCCATCCGGTAAAGCACCAGATGGCCGTTTCGCCCTATTGGGGCTCATCAGTGGTGCGCATCCTCCGGTCCTCTGCGGAGGATGGAACCCATGACTGCTAGTGGCTCTTGCCAACTAGCCCGCAGCTTATGCAACTGCGCCATGGAGCACGGTATCTGACTATCATGAATTGTTAGCTAAATGCGATATAGCCCAACGCATCCTCCACTGCCATGCAGGCACCTGCCATGCAGATGACAGCGGTCGGCCTTCCGGCGTCAGGACTTCCTGTCCTTCCTGTCCTTCGAAGGTCCAATGGGCGATAGTAGATTAAATTTGGATGTTTGTGAGTAGGTAGCTCAGTGGTAGAGCAGCGAAGCGGAAATTTGCGGACCGGGGTTCGATTCCCTGTCGAGGCACATTATTGTGCGTGAATTTTAATCGTGACTTCTACTTCCTACAATCTTTACCCTACTCACAAACATCCAAAATTTAATTCCTCACCTCAGACCACACCCAATGGGTGTCCTTGCATAACAAATGATGCAATGGGTGTAACGCTATAGCCGATTGCCGAACAAACTTTGAGTAGTGAGTGTACGTCCATAATAGCGACCTCAACTTGTTGATATCCTGATGGTTGTGCCTCAAGGACAGGCCAAATTGTTGCCACAGTCGTCTTCAGTTCCACTGCACTTATGCAAAATTCCAAATAATCTATGTGGAAAGCCAAGAATAAGCATTTTTTACATCTAAATCACGTGCCATTCTCTCTCAGATGGTCGCGAACAACTCGCAGATTGTTGATGTACAACCACTTTTGCCCCGTAAGCTGGAGTTCGTTTAGGTACACGAAAGTTTTAGGTAACCATGTTTTGATGTTCGCTATAGTCCACAGGAAGATGGCTGGAGCAGAGTGCATGTCAACCGCTAGTCTGTTATACCCCAACAAATGGTAATGGATACTGATCGTCGTTATAGTTCTGAATTCTTTGTGTAGTTCAATCTGCTAATAAGCTTGCAGGAAGTTTAAGGTTGAGAAATGTCTGCTGATAAAAGCCTTTAACTTTCAGAATGGTGTATTGTTCAGATGGAATACTGCAACTGACACCAATTTTGTAGTCACCACAAATACGAATAGATCCACTAAGATTGAGTGCTGAAAAATGGGTGTAGCCTAATCCGAAAATTGCACTGGTGCCGCTGTTCTGCAGGCCATCAAGTTTATTTGCTGGCTTCGGTCGCGTCACATACAATAACGATCGAAACTTGATGTATCGTTGTAGTGTGCCAGGTGGAATGTATATACTAATTTGTCCACCAGTGAACTCTTCTTCCTCCGGCTTCTTAAATACTGGTGCGTATTACTGGAACAGTGTTTGTATCTCCGATGATAACGAAAGATGGTTTATCTGTAACGCTGAAAGCTGATTTATCCAGTCGCGGCCCAGTAGGTTTGGACTATCTTCGGGTGCGTTGTAAACGATTCCTTGGATTGCCCATCCTCTATATGGTACCTCGAGGTCCTGCAGCCCCAGCAGTTCCAATTCACCACTCGCGTATGTACGCAATCACAGGGACCCCCGACAGAGTTTGGTTTGGCTCTTCGGGCCCTTTTATGTGATGAAGTTCGTTAGTTGCACAACTTTACTGCACTGCCCGTGACAATTTCGAAATGTACTGGAAGCCGGTTAGCTCAAATCTGTGTAAGAAATATGGTTGTGCACCTGGGGTGGTTGTGTATCGCATGCCTTTTTGTGATTCGATAAAAACAAGTTGAATGTTTACCACCAGGGAACACGGGTGTCTACTTGGCCGGCATATATGGGCTAAGTGCTCACCTTTTTGAAAGTTGTCATAAACTGTCTGAGCTTGCTTGCATTCGCTGGGATGACTATGCCGCAAACCGCAGCGATAATAGTTCAACGAGCACGTGGGGTTTTATCAACTGTTTAATACGGCCGGGACATGTTCAGCACATGGCGTTGAATCTAGCTGTAAATTTTGAAGAAGCTGGGTATTAATTGCAGTAGCCTCCATGTCCGTCGAAACAGCAGCGTTATCAGCCAATACGCATCACAGAATGCGAAGGTTTTTCACTCCGACCACCAGACGATGTTAGATCAAGTTGCTTCGGTAGTTGCCGAACTCGCAATATTCTGTCAACTCGGCAACGAAGGAAACTACTGACTGCTTCTCACCCTGGACTCGGGTTTTGAATTTTAATGGTTGCACAGTAACTGATGTTTTTGGGTTGAAAACCAGTGTAACTAATTCATTAAATTGTGTGGTGCATGGTAAACTGGAAGTACCGATTTAATTCATATGTTGTTGAGCCATAGATGCTCATTAAGACATTCAACTGGAGGTTAACGAAGATTTCATTAACCGAGAAAAAGCAAGTTATACGCACAATCTAATGGTCGCACGAATTGAATCCTTCAGTGTACTCTTCCAATTTTCCAATGGAGGCCATGGGTTTGATTAATCTGTCGCCAATATCGTAGAAACGCCAACACGTAAACGCCACGGCTGTGATTTGTACGCACAACCGAGTCACTGTTTTGCATAATTTTTCCACACACGCCACGTGCATTGCCAAACAGTCCGTGGCTTGTGCCGACCAATCACAACACCCGCCCAAAAGCAGCAGTTCAAGACTATTCTCGAAGTTGTTTACTCGCATAAGGTAAAGATTGCGGGGATTGAACCTTAAGCCATTGGGATGTTAGTAGAAACCTCTACCTCTAAGCCTCCGATTCACGACGGGCAACGCTTGTTACAACAGTCAGTGACTGCTTTTAGGGACATTGGGGAGCACTCGTTGTGTGAGTGGATTGCGGCACGCAAAATCAACTGACATCCCAATGGCCTCGGGTTCGATGCCTGTTACCTCTACCTGATGAGATCGAATAAGTTAGAAGCTAGTCCTGGAGTGCAGTGCAGTGGTTTCGGTCCAGCAACATCCAATATCTGACTGCTTACCCATTAGTATGTGTGAATCCAGGGCCACTTTGCGTGTGAACGCCGTAAAGTAGTTCTATTGAGTAACATTTGCATTAACAATTGGATTCCTGTTTAAATTGAAAAGTGTTACAGACAGCGTGTCTTTACTTTTTGTAGTTCCCTTCCATGTGCGAAAGACTTCGATTATCATTTTTCGACTGGTAAGCTCGAAACACCAGCACATCTGAGCCTCAATTACCTGCTCACCACCCTGTGCACACACCCACACACACTTGTGGAGATGGTTTGAATTCACACTTGCACCCGTGGCACACGATAAATTTTGAATTGTAGTGGTGGGAAGTAAGTTAGATTCATGACAGTTACGACCAATTTGCTCAATTGATTACAGGGACCGTGCGTCCAAAGACGACCCTATTGGTTCCACCTGGATCAACCTGACCGAAACGGCTGCTCAAGGTGATGAGGGTGAGTTAGATTATTGCCATCGCTTAGGAAAACTTGGTTGAGATAGACGTCAGTTTAAACTGTGTAGACCATTTGGAACACAGTTTCTGTAAACCAGCCTATTGCACACATCATTGTTTAGTGAAGAACTGAAAGAGTTATAATGAAAGTTGATTTAAAACATACGGTTTTTGCAACAATTTGAAAGAGCACAGTAAAAGTAAGGTAACATGGTCACTTGGCCCAGTGTGAAATTGCCCAGCACTAAACTATCCTCGATCTCCGTTCTCTTGAACGCCGTCTAGTTCCTTGGTAGACAAACGCTTATTGGTCTCGGTTAACCGGGCATGACTCGATGCAAGGTTCAAATTTTTGGTGCGTCATGCTGATCTGCGTCTCAATCCTTTGCTGAGGGGGGCCATGATAAGCCGGATAGGGCCAAGTCTGCGCGTTTACAAACATTTTTCTGTTTTGAGATACCGCTAAAGTGAGAGCTATATTTTCATCGCACGATATGCAGATCAAAGCCGCTTGGTCACAACCACTGTCAGGTATGAAATCAGTCATTGCTATTGGCATTGAAAAGATAATATGAAAGGTGGTTCGCAAAATTTGCGCTATCCCTTCTGATCAACGTTATCAGCCTTAAACCATTGATAACACGAAGTAATAATAATAACGGGTATATTTATATTTAAGTGAGAAGCTGCGTCCATTTTTAGCGCAATCAAATATCTACACGTAGTACCATGCTCTTGCATGCCCAATATGAATTTGTGGTGAATAGAAAGCAAAGGTATGTCACTCGTCGGTGCAAGGTACACTCCGACTGGATATTACGATTCTTGGCGTACGAGGAGCAGATGGTATATTTTTGAATTTTCCAAAACAGTCCACAAGCTTTTAGACGGACATGGCTACTTGATCTGTTAATTCTTTCTGGAGGATTGTGAGGTTTTAAAAAGTAATAAGCATAAATATATACAACGTATAGGCGAAGTACTACGGCTATTACTGAGACCGCCTCCTGAGGGCATTCTTCCATGCAAGTTATTCACTCGATGGATTTTATCCGTAATGCCATGCCCCATCTGGCCGTGTGTCGTATGGCGTTTAAAGCAGGTAAGCCATCACTTATGTAACTCACCTCCGACTCCAACTTTGAATTCGTTTCCGCTGTACCAAGCGTTGCTCACGGATCTCAGTGGTATAGTGTTTATGGCGTCAGCCGTGAACCACTAGGCTCTGATTTCCACCCCAGCTCAGGCTATCTCCACCTGATGAGTCCAAACCAGGACGAAACCGCGGTCGTGGGGTGCCAGTGTTGGAATGAGCAACACCAAAATATTTCCATTTTACATATGGTCCTTATGATCAGAATGACCGAGGTCTCAATAGAGGTTGCTTGTAGCAACCGAAGCACACAGCGGATTCTCCATGTGCATCTTTAGGGCTGTTTTTCTGTGTATATAGTGTGGACAGTCAAGCCACCTAGCCCGTACCATCAACTGGTTTTTTGAGTAAAGCACTTTTTTATCACCAGGGAATCAATGGCAATGCGCCTTGCATGGGTATAATTATTGGTGTCAAAAGATTAAATCCAGCATCTAAGGAGATCAACCCAGTCGTGGTCGACAGTAAAGTGAAGAAGAACATAACTTATGTAGGCAAGAAAGACCAACCAAAGAGTAAAAAGGAAGTGTCAAAAACGGGTAACTGCTCGAGGTGTCAATGTGCAAGACAGTTCAGAAAACAATTTTCAGATACATCATCCTTTGTTTGCGTTCGAAAAGTGCAGGAATTGACAGCGTTGAGCAATGAGACTTATTCTCTGATCCTGGACTGTCGCCTCCGCGACTGAAGAAGTAATGTGTACGAGTGTAAAGAGGTAATCATAAGTAAAAGCTAAGGTAATACTTTGTCCCCATAGTGCGAGACACGGACCGTTGGGTTAATCCGATCACATTTGCAATTGAATCGTCAAGAATCATTTGCGTTCAACCCGATCCTAATAAAAGTGCTCACGAGTTGATGTTTCAGCTGTTCAACCATAATGGGGCAGCCGAGTTTCGTAGGGAGTGATATCGACGGGTTACGGTAGTCACTTCATAATTTGTTCATTGATTCCTCCGGACAGCAAAGAGAGTTAATTCGAAGTGCGGAACAAGGTTGTTTTATAAATTATATTATATTAGTGCTGGGTTAACTTTGAATCAGAGCATCTTGTCTTTTGCTATGTAGCACTCGGCTCTTCCTCATACAAACTGGTCATACTCACGTCTGTGCTGAGCATATCCTTTAATTTATTTAATGTATATTCCTAGTTAGAGTACGAAAAACACTCTTTGAGTCACACGTTCACAGATTCTGCGGTAGTTTGTTCTACAGAACTGCACAGCGGTTAAGAAAGAAATTGATTCTTAAGCCAATCCATACATTTTCGATTTGTAACGTGCCGTCTCTATTCGTTAGATTGTACTTAAACCTACAACCTCAATGTCTCAGGAAGAGACACGTTTGTGGATTACATCAAACATGAAGTTCAGGTTAAGTTTTAGCCTCTTTAAACAAAGTGATTCTATGTTCATCGCAAAGCAACGGTTATAGTAGGTAGGATCACTAGAGTTTCTCATTAAGCGCTTCGTAAAGTAACGCTGCACACTTTCTATTGATGTTCTATCAATTTTTCTCAGGTTGGAGTAAATTATTGAGCGATATTCGAGTAAGGGACGATTATGGGTTTTACACAGCTAGATTGTTGATTCATTCAAAATAAAGGAGGTTAGTATTAGCCCTCCTATTTTACGGATTTTGCAACCGTGTATTGTACCGGTTCGACGAACTTGAAGGAGCTCGAGTAGTGTATCCCAAGATCAAGAATTTTGTGACAGAGCTCTGCATTCTAGCATCAAAGAATTTGGTTCAATACTTCACCGATAAGATATGCAGCTACACTTCTCGGATGAGAGTTTTATTCTTCACTTGCTGCACCAAGTTTCCAGCTCGTGCAGATCCGCTTGTATGTCGGCTAACACGTTAATAAAATTGTCCAGATCGAACTCATAGAAAATTTTAATCTCAACTGCGAATAAATATAGGTTACCATGTTTGATGACATCGAAGACGTCGTTAATATACATCAAAAACAGAAGAGGCGCTAGAACACTTCCTTGCATCACGCCGCTTGTGACTTTTCTACTCATGGAAGTATTGTTTAACATTTCAACTGCCTGACACCAACCAGTAAGGTAAGATACTATCCAAGCGTGTAAATTGCCAGATGTACCAAAGAAATGTACTTTTGATAGAAGATTTCCATGTAGTACCTGATCGGACTGTCCAGGCATATTAAGATATATGGTCATCCGACGCTTACCACGGTCAATGGAACGAGTAACAAAGTTTAGAAGTTGTAGCTGACAAATAATACATGACCGTGTGCGCAGAAATCCGGTATGGGAAGTGTTGATCAAATGCCGGGGAGATAGGTATGCAGCAGTTTGGCCTTTTATTTCCGTTTCCATTGTTCTACACAGAATGGAGGTACGGCTGATGGACCGATAGCTCGTCTGTAATGGACGTGGGGCACTTTTGTGAAATCGACGCATATTTCCACACATCTGGAACCACCCTAGACTTCATGGATAACGTAAAAATATTTTGAAGCAGTGTTGGGATATCAGGGTCACAAACTTTGAGCATAGTAGACAGTATTCCATCCTGGCTAGGATAAAAGCTCGTTGACATTGAGTATATCAGAGTTCTTATGTCGATTGCTAAAGTTCAACAATACAGATGTAATCTGCAGTTTTGTTTACCATCGGTACTATGCACGGCTCCGTGAAAAACGATGAGAACTATTCATTGAAATCCTTACACATCTGAGCCGGGTTTGCGGAAATACTGTTGTTGGATAGTATTATGAAAGGTGGTATATCATGCTTGAAGTTACTCCTGTGCTGGAATACTCTGGTCATTTCCCTGAGAAGTTTTACGGACCGATTTGTTTCTAAGGATGACCTTTTTTGATTTTGCTGAATTAATGGACGAAAATCGGTAACGTTTTTAAGTCTATATTGTAGCTTCTTCAGCTTTCGTATGATATTCGACGAGATAGTGGCCTGACTCATTTTCAGGGAAGTACCCCTGGGACGCAGAAGACATGTAGTCACTAGATTACGTTTTTGTATAAAGTTAGCTGCAGGTCGAGGTTCGGGAGAGAGGAAATAGTCATCCCAGTCTAGAAATCACAATCTGATTGCAAAGTCTTTCCAGTTAGTCAAGTGATTGTCACGAAATGATATAATCTTGTTGAATGTGTCCTGGTTGTAAACGGTTCCTTCGAAGCTGATCTCTGCTATCTTGTGGTTACTCCCAGGAAGATTGGGGAGGATGTGTTTGCTTCTGAGACTTCTGTCTTTTGTAAAGATTAGGTCTAGCATGTGTTCACCTGTTGTTGGAGATGAAATTTATTGTATCCATTCAATTGTATGAATTACTTAAATAAAATACAGAACTTTTAATGGTGACCGTGTGGATACCAGGAAATCTCAGTCATATTAAAGTCTCCACGGTCACGACGACTCTGTGAGCGCATTGACACCAGCCAACTGACGAAGCTATCTGTTCTGAATGCGTTCTGAATGTGTTCTGAATGCGCTGACATGCGAGTTGAGTAAGCGCTCACCGGAGACAATTGATGGCCACTGGTCACATGTTCACCAGAACTTACTGGCAGCAGGCAAATCTTCATGTGGTGTCTAATAGCCAACATGGACATTGGGTCTCTTCGCGGTTTCTAGAACTTGTCGATGCTCGCCGGCATATCCCGGCTGGAAGCGAACATAATGAAACTCGCAAAGAGCTCCGGGTAAGACTTCGTGCTAGCCTGAAGAGAGACCGCAAATCTTGGTGGTCTCACCGTGCGTCAGAGATGGAAGTGGCTGCTTCCCATCGTAAGTTATTCCGTCTGATACGGGAAACGGGCAGCAGGAGACCTGGTGTTAGTGAACTTATACGTGACGAGAATGGACAGCCTATCCACAATTTGTCAAAACGTCTG